CCACTGCACTCTTGGTGCTGCGCTCCCAGCCCCGACGGCACTGCTTTCTAACCACGTAGCTCTCCCCGCCTCCTACCGTGTCTTGTCATTTATATTGGATTTTCAGGGTAGATTTATTGTTAGTGGAGTTAGCAAACTTTTTCTGTAAAGGGCCAGTTAGTAAATATTTTAGGTTTTGTAGGCCAGGTGGTGTCTGTTGCATATTCTTTTTTTTTTTCCCCCATAATCCTTTAAAAATGTAAAAGCCAATTCTTAGCTCATGAGCCCTACAAAAATGGACATTGGGTGGGATTTGGCTCATAGGCACCCAGTTCTGTTTGATTCCACAGTTACCCACTCTCGCTGTGGTACACACAGTCACCCAATGAATGCTCCTCCATGTCACCAAAGATGAGCCTGTCCCAATGACTCCTAAAGGCTGCATGGAGTCCCCTTCTATGGTCATACCGTTTCTGATTTAACCACCACCCTAACACCATCCAGGTGATTGCCTTAAACAGCACCTTGGCCAGTGTCGTCTTGGAGCCATCTTTGGTTCCCTTCCCTGCTTTTTCTTTTTCTCACTCCCCTGCCCCCTCACTCTAGAGGCCTCCATGTCCAAGAAGAAGCGCATGTGTGTGAAGTTGGTGCCCCTGGGTGCCGCGGACACAGCTGTGTTTGACATTCGGCTGAGTGGGAAGACCAAGACTGTGCCTGGATACCTGCGAGTAGGGTAGGATTGTCCCCCAGCCTCTGGCCTCCTTCCTTGCCCTCTGCTCCCACATGTACACCTCTGACCCTCAGGGACTCCTCTGAGGCCTCCCGTTTCTTCTTTCGCCTCTCTCTGCCTCAGTTTTCACATGTTAAAACAGGATCATAGGGCCAGCGTGAGAAATAAATGAGTTGGTGTGTCTGAAGTGCACACTACGGCCATGGGACCCAGAAGTTGCTTAGGATGTGGGCTGAAATGCTGAAAGGAAAATTCCCCAAAAGGCAAGGTCACTCAGAGGTCTGGGTTCCTCTTTCCTTCTCCTGTTCTCAGCCCTGGCTGCACCAGAACTCCTCCCCTCCTTCCCTCTTCTAGGGACATGGGTGGCTTTGCCATCTGGTGCAAGAAAGCAAAGGCCCCCCGGCCAGTACCCAAGCCCCGAGCTCTCAGCCGGGATATGCAGGGCCTCTCCCTGGACACACCCAACAAGCCCAGGTGAGTCCTGGGCTCGGGGATGGAGGTGGTAATGGGGGTCAGTCCTGACCTGGGCTGTCTGGTCCCCACCAGCAAGGGCGGCTTCCCGGAGCGGACGCTGTCGAGACTGGGCTCGCGGGCTTCCACCCTGCGGAGGAGTGACTCCATATATGAGGCTTCCAACCTCTATGGCATCTCAGGTGAGTGCAGAGTGAGAAACTGAGGCACAAGGGTGGGGTGAGACTGGCCAAAATTTATATAGCCTGGAAGAGGCAGGGCCAAGATTGGAACCAGGCCTGGCTCCACCCCCATTCTATAGAAACTGGGCAGGCGGAAGGGAGCCTTCCGGGTTGGCCTCTGGGGTGGGGTGGGCAGCAGCCAGGCTACAAGCCTCCTGCCCCTCAGCTCTTTACCCTCTGCACCATGCTTTCCTCAGCCATGGATGGAGTTCCCTTCACGCTGCATCCCCGATTCGAGGGCAAGAGCTGTGGCCCCCTGGTGAGTCTGGGCCCTGGGGAGCCTGGATCTGACGTTGCCCATCACCTTTCTAGCACCCGAGTGCAGTGAGCGTCATCCATGCACTTAGCCCCCTAGCACAGAGGCCCACATTCCTGTGTTAGGGGAGGCTGGAAGCCAATGCGGGTGTGGGATGGAGGGTCTGTGTCTGGAATGGAGAAGTCAGGTAGGGTAGCTGGATGCTGATGGGTAGAGGCTGTGGCAGGAAGAGGGAAGGGATATTCAGGCAAATACTGAGGGGTGCCCTCCTTGAAGATAAGGAAATGTGGGTTCCAAGTGGGGGGGGGTCTAGACCCAAAACTGATCCGCCCCTGCCCACCAGGCCTTCTCTGCCTTTGCTGATCTTACCATCAAGTCGCTGGCGGACATTGAGGAGGAGGTGCGTGCAGGGGTGGGGAGGGAGTCCTATGACCACCGCCACACTGCCCCAGTCTCCCCCAGCCTCACCCCACCTCTCCAAGGCTAGAGGTTGCTCAGTCCCTAAGTGACCCCTCATTTCTTGGGCACCCTCCATACACCCCCTCACTGTGCACTCTCCCCTCCCCCAGTACAACTACGGCTTCGTGGTGGAGAAAACAGCAGCTGCACGCCTGCCTCCCAGCGTGTCATAGCCCTTCGCCTGCCCCAGGGAAGAGCCCCTTCCCCGACACATGCTGGACTGGCAGCTGTCCACCCCACCTCATGTTGGGGACCTTGGTGGCACAAGGCATTCTGGACTGTCAGCCATGTGGAGCTGCCGCCCTGAAGGAGGGGGTGGACCTGGCTGCTCGGTGATGGGGTCTCCTGTCCTGGGCCCTGTAGGGCAGGGGTTGGGGGCTGGACGGAAACCAGTGCCTTGAAGTTATTTGTGTCAAAACTTGGAGTGGCGTCCTCCTGGCAATAAATGCTGTGCTGTCTGCTCTCTGGAGTCCTGTTCCTGGCCCTGGGTCTTCTGTGGCTCCTGGTCTTCACCTTGCACATGGACCACAAGCCGGGCTGGCAAGTGGATGAAATCCTATAGGGGAGGTGGTGCTGTTGCCACTTCCATTCCACAGAATGGGAAACTGAGGCTCAGTGAAGCCCCGATCCAGGATTCTAGATCACAGAAGACTGGTCCTGCCCCTCTATTCTTGTGCATAACAGTAATAGTAGTAACAGCTACCGTTTATTACAGGGACCATGTCCTGAGCCCCTGTGGCATGGTCTCTCACCCAGTCCTCCTACAGCCCCATGGGGAGCCCCTGCTTTGTCACCATTTTACAGATAGGAAAACTGAGGCAGGGGGCGGTTAAGATCAGCTGAGATTAGAACTCAGAGCCTGCCCTCAACCAGCAGGCTTTCCTCTTCTGCGTTCCTTTTCTTCCCCTGTGCTGTGGATACAAACAGTCGACTCTTATTTGCAGTAGTTATGTTTTATAAAGTCGTTGTGAAAATTGAATTGGATTCCTTGGGAAAACAGGTAGGTTCTCATGAGTCTGGTCACATTTTTGTCAAGTGATCAATACATAACTTTGTTTTGTGTGTTTCGGGACACTTTGTTTATTATACATGCTGCTGATCTGTTAACATCGAACTCACTGCCCACAGCATTAACTCAGGCCTGAACAAAGCTCATGTGACGGGCATTTTCTCTGGAAGGCACATCGTAGCCTTCTTGAGCTTAGGGACACCAGACAGCACTTCAGCACTATGCTCAGGGGCCTTTTAAACCAGTAAAATACCAAGGAAAAGTACAAAACCATGAAAAACGTGCCACTAAATAGACTACGAAAGGCTGTGTTTACAGGGACAAGAAAGCAGAGCATCACCTTGTTCTACCTCAGCTGGGAACCTGCGCTTGCCGTGACTCATGAAAGTACCAGGAGTCTTGATTTTGGAGTTACAAATAAATTTTGTCCAGTAGGAGAACTTACAAATACAGAACCTGCGAATGATGAGGGTCAACTGTATTTGCGAAATTAACTGCCCCAGGCTGGGGCTGTCCTTCTGCCACATGTGCGCTTCTCCCTTCTCTGGTCTCCCCGACATCCCTGTAGCATCAGGGTGGCCCAGGTTCTGCTGCCATTAGGAACATACCCAGATCTCTGGCTCAGAAAGGCTAAGGCTTATTTCTTGTCCATATCACGTGCCCACGGAGAGGCGTCAGCAGACTGCTGGTCGTAGTTGTGCGGAAATCCACTTGGAGAGTGGCCACCATCTCACCCTGACGGCAGGGACGAACTCAGAAAGGTCTTGCACTGTCGGTTAAGTCCCCGGGCAGCCGTGAATATCTTGTTCAAGTTCTGCTCGCAGCTCATTGGCCAGAATGGGGCCCACAGGGTCTGGAAGGGACAGGCCACCAACCTGGGCCCTTGTGTCTAACAATACTGCCCTAGGGGTCTGAGGGGCAGACTTCCCTGCACAGGTGTCTGAGGGAAGCGGGTTCCTTCCTCTGTGATCTGAGGAAAGAGGCAAGTCTCTGCTCTGGGAATCTGATTGGGAAGACAAATGTCCTAGAGGGGGTGGGGGATCATGCAAAAGATACCCCCCCACACACACTCAGCTGCCTTGGGAAAACTAGGCCTCTGGTGCTATCTCCCACATCTACCCCTCTGGGGACAGCCAGCCTCTGCCAGGTTCCACCCAGGCTGCTCTGGCGCCGGCCTGGGAATCCAATGCGGCAGGGAAGCAAAGGCCGTTTGTTTTCCCTGGTCACCTCAGCCACCCCGAAACCAGCCCTGGATCACTTTCCAGGGCGTCCGTCTATGACTGGGGCTCCCGGGTGACCTAACTGGACCAGACATCGTATGACTAAAATCCCAACCCTCTGAACCCTGCTGGGCCTCGACCCTCACAGCCTCCAGAAGGGGCTAGGGTCACAACAATCCTAACAGCCCCAGGCTGAGCTGACATCAGTCTCAGGATACAGAGGAGGGAGCCAAAGCCTTAGTTTTCCTTCCTTTTGCTCAAACCTGGCTGCTGAGCCAGGCATCTCAGAGACCTGGGTATGAGAGGGATGTTTCTAGAGAGCTGTGGTCCCGGCTCCACTGCTCACTAGCTAGTGACCCCGATCAGCGACTCAACGTCTCTGTACTTTCAGAACATTTCATCACCCCCAAAGGAGACCCTATCCCCGTTATCAGTCATTCCCCCATCCCTGTCCCCCAGCCCCTGGTAACTGCCAATCTGCTTTCTGTCTCTCGATTTGCCTGTTCTGGACGTTTTATGTAGATAAAATCGTACGAAATGTGACCTTTTGTGTCTGGCTTTTCACTCAGTGTGATGGTTTCAATGTTCATCCATGTTGTAGTGTGTGTCAGTGCTTCTTTCCTTTTTATGGCTGAGTCATATTCTGTTGTGTGGATGGACCACATTTTATTCATCCATTCATCAGTTGATGGACATGGGTTTTTGGTGATTGTGACTAGTGCTGCTGTGAACATTGCATGTGTAAGGATTTGTTCGAATACCTGTTTTCAATTCTTTTAGGCCTCCTAAATTTTGTATCTCCACCCTATTCTTGGCCCTGGGGATGAGGCCAAGGGATCCAGCTTCTAGTTCCCCTGACCAGTCCAGGAGATGAGGCCCTCTGCACTGGCAGCCAGACAAGGGTGTTTCCTCTTCGCAATCCCCTCTCCCTCACCCTGAGTCCTCAGGACCTGCCCCATTTCAGGGAGTTCTCAGAAACTTGAGTCTCCAGTGTTCCTCAAGTACTTGTTCCTTCTGGGTCCCTGTGTGATGGGGTTCCAGCCATTGCTGCCACGTGGCCTCACTTCTTGGGCCTCAGTTTCCTTATCTGTGAGTGGAGTTGTCCTGAAGATTAGCCGAGGCCAGGAAAGCACCTGGCCTGTGCCTACAGTACCAGGCATTTGATAAAGATGTGATATTTATTCTTATTTTATCCTTTTCATTGATATTAATTATGCTCGCCAAGAGCCCATGCTTACTGGGCTCTTGGTTTGACACGTCAGGTACCACATGGGACGCTCATGTACATAACCAAGAGCCCATGCTTACTGGGCACCCACACGTCAGGTACCACATGGGACGCTCATGTACATAATCTCGATCCCACTTCACCAGCAAGGAGGAAGTTTGTGCAGCTTCCCAGGAGCTCAGGGAGGAGATGGTCAATGTTGCTGGGGCACCCAGGTCTGTGATCACCTGGGTCACTACCCGGGCTCAGGCTTGGGAACCAGTGCCCCTTCTGGGTGCTGTCACTTCTCTGCTCATTGGGAAGGGTCCCAGGGGGGCTTCAAGCTACTGTGTGGCTGAGCTTCTTCTGCTCCCTGGGCCCCAGAGTCCCCATGTGGCCCAGGAAGAGACAGGCTGGAAGACTTCTGGGGACATGTGTCCATTTGGGGTAGGGGTGGAGGGTAAGGCCATCCCCATCCCCAGTGAAATTGATAAGGATGAAGATTTGTGGGAGATGGGTCCCAGACTGAGGTCTACATGGTATGCCCTCTGCCCCCCACTCCTGCCTTCCCCACCTCCATTTCTGTCACCCCATCCTCTCGCCTCCAGTGGGTTTGACCATGCTGCACATTCAGGTGTGGCCCAAGTGATATGAAATAGTGAAGGTTGGAGTTTATTTGTGGGTTCTGCCAGAAGGGAGTGGGGCCAGGGCCTCTGGAGACCTCTGAGGCTCCAAGCTATTCTCTCCATAGCCCTGTCAGTTTCATGAGCCCCAGAAGCTGGCCATCAACCCCCCCTTTTCCTGCCACCAGGCATCCCAACTGACAGCAGCACAAGAATTGACATGAATTGAGGACATGAATTGTACACAGGCTCCCAGAATGGCTTACACGGAGTCTCATGAGAACCCTAGGCAGAGGGACCCCTTCCATCTCCATTTTATAGACAAGGAAACTGAGATACAGAATGGTAGAGATCTTAGCCCCAGACTCACAGCCAGGAGTCTGGGTGCAGCCCTCCAGGGATGCTGTGGCCCTGGACTGCTCTGAGCTCTGCACACACAGGTTTCAAATGCTCACAGCCTGGAAGGAGTCGCAGAGACTTGCACTGTCAGCAGCATGGGGGTTACAGGACCCAGGTTCGAATCCTGATTCTGATGCTCAGTACTGGCCGGGGGACCCCTGGTGAGTCTCTGCCCTTCTCTGGGTCTCGGTTTCCTCATCTGTAAAATGGACGGAGACATTTAGAAAGCTACTGTCTAAGCCCCACCCTTCCCTCCTGCCTATCATAGAACCTCATTTTATCTGTACAGTTATATTTCCCAGCCTCCCCTGCAGCAAGGTGTGGCCATATGACTTTGCTCTGGTCAGTGAGGTATAAGCAGAAGGGTCCCGAGACCTCCTAGGAAGGCTTCCAAAAGATGCTGAGCTAGCCCTGGTCTCTGCCCTTCCCTTCAAGTGAGGAGATGAAGGCTGGAGCCCTGGCAGCCATCTTGTGCCATGTGGCAAACTTGAGGACAAATCCAGGGATGCTGTGAACTGAAAGAGGAATCAACTTATACTGCTAGTGTGGCAGATCCTGGACCTATCTCTACAGAGTCCTCTTCCTGCTGCCTGACACCAGCTCTCTATCTTTGATCCCTGGGCTTACACCAGTGTGGAGTCCTTCCCTGAACCCCCTGGCTTGTGGCTCAGCATACTGCGCATCTCATAGGTAACCCCTTCCCAGTGCCCCCCACCAGTTGACAGTATCCGGTGCATTCGGGATGCAGGCAGGCTGCTCTCCCAGCCTCCCCCAGTGGCTGCAGGTGCTGTGGAAGTGACTGTGGCTCTGAGGGTGTCCCCAGGTTCTAGGCGGAATGAATAGGGGGTTCGGTGGTGAGTACCCTGCTGAGGCTGAGCCCTGGGGCTGGTCTTGGAGACTTCAGCTGGGCGGACAGGGTCGTCTTCAAAATGTGGTGGGGACAGTTCATGCAGGCCACGGCGGGTGGCCTGGGCAGCCCGGAGCAGAGTGTGGGTCAGTGCAGCCACCAGG